GCTGCAGCAGCAGCTGCTGCTGCTGCTGCTGCTGCCGTGCCCTCTCAAACCGCTCCTGCTCCTCCCTCTCCAACCTGTCTAGACGCTGCGCACGAGTCAGGAAACGTACAGTGCGCGGTGTAGGCGTCGCAGTGCTCGTGTCCTCGGCTCCAGCACCCCCAGAACCAGAACCTCCACCGACAACACCCGCAGGGACTCCAATGCCTCCGGCAGGAACACCCCCAGGCTCCGCAACGACCGGCCGCGGAGGCGAACGAGGAGGGAACTGCGGAACAGACGGGAAGCCAGGGGGTGAGGCGGAGCGAGGCCGCTGAGTCGAGACAACCGTGTCCTCCTCAGGAGTGGTCTTCACTCTCACACCCCCTGCACCCCCAGAGCCGGCACCACGGGCTCTAGCAGCCCCAGTACCCACACCCTCCGCAGCTGCACCTCCCTCACCCCCAGACACGACAGGAACTGGACGCTGCAGGGGAGACGACCGCGGAGTGACGTGCGACACACCTGATGGGGCAGGACGCGAAGGGGGGGGGGGCTACCGGGGCGACTGGGGGGGGCTCAGTGCAACCGTAACTGGAGCAGGAAGCGGTGTGAGAGTCGTGTGGTCGTGGAAGAAGCACTAAGACGCGCCAGAGTCCAGCATGAAACAGAGCGACGCATCAGCCGTAGGTGCACATGGGCTAGTAGCTACACAAGCACCTAGACTAGAAGCACAAGCACCTACACTAGCAATAGCTAATGATGCTACACTACGAACACGTGAGCACAATGATACAATAGCACTATAGTCAACATCAGCATACATCGCAGAATCAGATTGCAAATCATCAAGAAACTCTACTGCAGACATCTGAAACAAAGTTGGGCTACAAGAGCGAACCAGCGGGGCACAGACCGGAACGGGGCCAAAGCCGTACTATGCACAGAGACAATCCGTGAGCTGCGCGAAGCACTGACTCAAAGGGTGAAGACGGCCGCAGGGCTGACCCTGACGAGAGTCCATCTGAACCACGTACGGGCATGGAGGAGGAGTGACACCACGCGACGCCCAGCTGGGTGGACCACCGCCATCTCCAGCGCTCCCTGGCCCACCAGGTCCCTGCTGCTGAGACTGCTGCTGCTGCTGTCCCTGCTGTGGATGCGGCTGCTGGGAATGCTGTCACTGCTGTGCCGTGTACCAAGCAACTGGCCCAGCACCTCTCATTGGCCGCGCAAGCTCAGTAGTACCTCCAGTGCCGCCTCCACCAGACGTACTAGCACCGCCACCACCTGCACCACCAGCGCGGCCACCACCTCCACCACCACCGCCGCCACTACCGCCACCACCACCCTTCCCCTCTCTCCTACCTCCCTTGCCCCGTTTCTGCCCACTAGCGACAGAAACGGCTGGAGTCTCCTCAGAACAAGACAATGCAGCATTGGCAAGAGAAGCAGTGAACGTGGGAAGCTGGGGTGCAGCGCACCCGTCAAAGAGACAGGGAGATACTGCAGCAGTGGTAGCGGCAACAGCGAGGAGGTTGCTCTTGATCTTAGTGAGGGTGGGTTCAAAAATATAGATTGTGAGCTCAGTGGGGTGCTTCAGGAGAAGCATGTCGCGGGCAGAGGAGAGGCGGTCAGGGAGGCGAGTGACTAAGTAGTGGAGGGTGAGCCACATAGGCGGTGGGGCAAGTTTGAGCTGTTCCTCAGTGCAGGCATCACGAAAGCTAGTGTCAAGAGAACAGAGGTGGGTGACAAGGTCGGAGACAGTCTCGAACGAGCCCAGGTCAGGGAACACAAAGGGCATAAGGAGGCGATTGAGGGAGGCAGAGGAAGGGGTGCGATAGCGAGCAAGAATAGCGTCGTACATAACCTTTGCCGAGTCGCACTGGGAGAAGTGGAATGCCTCAGTCGGCGGGAGAAGGTCGGTGAGGGCGTTGCAGGCAGCGGCATGGCAAGACTCCTAGACGTCACGCGCCAGTAACATCCTATTGTACTCGTCCTGCTCCGTAGCGGTGGGAGTAGCGGGCAGAGGATTAGGGCGGGGAGGGGCCTGAAGAGCGCCAGACGTATGAGCATAGAGGTGGCCGCCATCCTGACGCTGACTCTTGAGGTGGCGTTGGGCCTGGTTAAGCCACGTGCTAAACTCGATAGGGCGACCGTCAGCGTCGAAACGTAAAACTCGAGAGGATGCCATTCTAGGCGCTAGGAGCAAGCGGAGGCAGGAGCGAACGGAACGAGAGATGCCATGCTGGGTATGTAAGAGGAACTAGACGAGGATCGGTAGGCCGAATAAGACACGAACCCTAAACGACACGAAGAGAGTCAGCTGCTGCTGCCAGCCATCGTTAGGAACGCCTATGGTAGGAGGCTTGTGGTAGACAGTAGGTACGGGTGGGGTGGAGTATGATCTAGTACGGACGGGTGCGGTCGAGTGCAGTTGAGTGCGGTCTAGCGCAGTCGAGTGCAGTGGAGTGCGGTTGGGTGCGGTCTAGCGCGGTGGAGAGCGATGAGGTACGGTAGGGTGAGGACTGTTATAGTCACAGTAGGCTCCAATGTGCCTAAAACGAAAGATAGAGTGCACAGCCGGATTTCTGCACAGCGGCTTCAAACGTTCATAGCGTTCTGGTCACGGCTTCAAATGACCTGATTCAACTTGGATCTGGCGCGTCTTAATGTCGCCTACAATAGGCAATTTAGATCGCACGACACAGCGTCGGTTTGAACGAACGGCACTATGGCAGCCACTATAGTCTTAGAACACAAGATAGGAAGAGTTAGCAAGGGTTACGAGTTGGGAATGACTCCCAGCTCCTACAAACCCCAAGAGCCGAGGTACAGTGATGTGGAACAGTGCCACACTGTCCCCAACCACGAAGGGTCTCGAAAATACCCTTCACTAGGGCCTACACCAAGTGAAATGTTACACTACACAAAGTAATGTAACTATCTTCAATATCTTGAGGTGTACCCTTTTGGCGAGCTTCGAAATCACTTGAGGCTTGACACCAAGGCTCGGGCTCTTCATCACAAACTCATCCTTGAGTTCTTGATGGGTCTGCTGCACACACCTGCGACACACCGAACGTTCGACACAGGACAAAATAGAAACCGCGCACGACAAAATAGAAACCGCGCGCGAGACACAAACGACCGCGTAACACGCGTCTAGCGATAACTCGCCATTGACTCGACACACACACTCGACATCATGACTCAACATTCACACACAATTATAAGCATGAAATATATATTATCCCATGCCCTCATACCATTCCATACACACACACATGCACGCACACGGACAACAAGCCGTAGGGTTGCACCAACAAGGACTAGTGCAGTGGGGAGCGGTAAAGGTGTGGCCGGGTGCGTAAGGGTGCAGCGGATGGCGGTTTAGCACGGTGGGGAGTGGTCGGGAGCGGTTAAGAGCGGTCTAGTGCAGTGGGGAACGGGGTGGCCTGTCAAGGAGCACGGGCAGTGGCGCGTAGCGAAGGTACGTGCAGTTGCTGCTGCTGCACGCGTGGCTCCTAGTGCGTGGGCAGTTGCGCATGCGTGTGCAACTGCTGCTGCGCGTGTCTGCTCGTGCGCGGCGGCGTGCGTGCGGCTGCGCGCGTTGGCGGCAGGGAAGGGCGCGGTAGGGGACGGGGCGGGGCGTGGGCAGGGCGAGCAGGGCGAGCGGCGGGGGTTGCAGTGCGCGCGGTGGCAGTTTCAGTGCACGCGGCGCATGCTGTGCGTGCACACAAAGCTACTTGTGCGCGTGTGCGTGCTGCTGCGCGAGCGCGCGGGGCCCTGCTGCGTGCGCGCTGCTGTGCACATGCGAGTGGCTCCTACACAGCGTAGGGCAGAGCGAAACGGGGTGATTGAGGGCGACACTGGGCGTAATGGGGCATCACGGGGCGACACGGGGCTAAGGCCTAGATCTACCTTGCTGATACCATCTTAGAAGTTACTTAACTTAGGTTCCTAGGATAGTTAGGTGTAATGGTGACTAAGGGAAGGTGAGGGGGGTACAAGGAGAATGTCGAGAGTTTCACATGTACCCCCTAAGATGCAACTCACTACAACCTACCCCCCAATATAAATAAACATACCGTAATCACCCGGATATAAGACCCAAGGGTCTTATGAATACTACTGGAAAAAAGGTGGGGGGTCTTATCAAATGGAACTAGTAATGTATGAACATGTTTTTTATACTTGTATCCGAATGCAGCGACCACGTTGGTGTTTGATTCCTTTTTAGATTTCTGAAAATGTGCACGGCGAGGATGTTCTTGTGACGTCGGTTCCTCAATACAAAATCCACTAATTGGTTTTGGATTGGACAATCACATGGACATTCACGTCCAATGAACCTAAAAGCACGACCGTGGGTTGGGCCCAGTGCACCGTGTCAGGCCACCTTGGCACGTCAATCCATGCACGCTTCGAGGAATGGGCGCACGGTACTGCTGTGAGCGGCTTCTACAGTGTGGCAGAGGCACATCTACCACCTGAGTTGGGTTGACCTCCTGCTCCACCTCTCGCTTCTCCTCCACCTCTATTCATGGGCATCTTATAATGGTTACAGCGCTTTGGGGGGGTCTTATAATGCTTACAGCCATTTAGGGGGGTATAACAAAAACCTACCTGAATATAAGACCCATGTCCGGTTGAGATACTCGAGGGTCTACAACTGGGGGGGGGGTCTTATATCCGGGTGATTATGGTAGTTTGACATGGCTTTTCGGGCCGTTGACAAACCAGATCCTGTTTTGGAATTAAGGAACTGCAGAGTTGTACGGTGCCGTAAGAGGTGCACATGGTGTTTGGTTTTTATCTCACAGCACCCTATTCTGCACATTGCACATTGCGACAATTCCCTGGTAGAAAGCAACTATTATCTATTTGTATACTAGAACTGTAGCAGTCCAGTGCTTCTGGTTCTGGCCACAGATGCTAATGCCTCTTACAAGGCATTCAATCTACATCTACCCTAGAACTTCCTTAGTGTGGCACTCATTCTCCGGAGGGTGACTCGGGTGCTAGAGCCCGTTATTCTCTGCCGTCCACCAAACCTGCCGATTCCAACTGAAAATCCTTGTTGCTGCCAAGCAACTCCTCTCCTCCTCCTCCTCCTCCTCCTCCTCCTCCTCCTCCTCCTCCTCCTCCTCCTCCTCCTCCTCCTCCTCCTCCTCCTCCACCACCTCCTCCTCCTCCTCCTCCTCCTCCTCCTCCTCCTCCTCCTCCTCCTCCTCCTCCTCCTCATCCATGTACAGCTGGTTCATGTAGCACACACTCCCCTTCCCACTCAATCTGATGCCCTGGCTGCTGTAACTCTCACCTCCTCCTCGTCATCCCCAAACAGTTGGTTTGAAAACATGTTGTTCCCCACTGGTTCCCCATCATCCTTCGCCTCCAAGCTCCATCCCTTCCCACCGCTGCAAAGGTCTCGCCCGATCCCCTAATTCATACTCCCCCTTCCATCAAACATGAAGTTACTGTAGCTCTCATCCTCCTCCTCGTCATCCCCAAACAAATGGTTCGAAAACACGCCTTTTCCCACCAGCTGCCCGACATCCTTCGCCTGCATGTTCCAATCATTTCCATTGCTGCAGAAACCTCGGCCAATCCCCCTTTTCACACCCATGAAGTCCGTGCCGAAGCTACCATGGCTGTCAGCAAAGGAGTCAATGTCACGGCGAGCAGATGGGGAGGAGGAGGAGGAGCTGCAGCTATCCCAAGAGATGAGGCACGCACTCTGGCTGCTGCAGCTGCTCTCCCTGCGAATCATCCTGCAGCAGCCACTGCTCTCCTCTGCTCCCACCTTCACATCCTGTTGTGCCTCCGCGACTGGAAATGAAGGAGCTCCCTCCTCTGACTCCACACCCAACCTGAACGCCTCCTCCTTCACATCGGAGGCCTCATCACTGATGTCAGCAGCAGGAGCCTCGACGTTGATGTCAGAAGCCCTTACAATGACAGCATCAGCCTCTCGGTTGGAAGCAGGAGCCTCGACCAAGACAAATCCGCGTTAATTTATGGTAATGGTCCAAGTACAGTATCGGATCTGCAACCAATGTTAACAAAAAGGGGAAACGAGAAGGTGAAATTTTGTTCATACCAGGGACGGAAGAGAGACCAGGCTACAAACATAGCATGCAAGGGAAGCATCCTTCTCCTAGCAGCTCAAGAAGAGAGCGTCGACGTCCGCGCAGGCACGCTCAGCAACGATGCAAGCCATCTCGTTGACGGCCGTGGTTGAACTGGCAAAGTAGCTTAATGCTAAGAGACTGATATCGAACACTTGAAGGTTCACATTGCAGGTACGGAAGCCTTGCTAAGATCAGGGGACTGTAGGAGCTGGAAGTCTAAGCGATGCCTCCCCCCCCGGGCATGGGGGATACAGAACTGATTTATGAATGGGAATACAGACCCCCGGGGCTCTTTATACCTTTTTCGGTTGCTGGATTGAGGGGTCTGACGGGAGGCGAGAATGGGTGTGAGGCTGAGGCAGGGGCGGGATGCGGCGAGAGGCGCCGAGAGGGTGGGAAGGATGCGGTGGGTGCGAGGCAGCTCCGCGAATATGTCGCCTGTGGGGTGGCTTTCTGGAGGGTAGCAGATTTGCAAGGGCTGGAGTGGGGTTGCGAGAATGTGCGATCATCGAACCCCATGGCGACGCCATTAATTGGCCTAAGGTGTCGCAGCGCTGCCCGTATGAGCAGGGACAACTCAGAACATGACACGTGGGCTTTATGCGACAGCATTGACTGGCTCTCTGGAAGCGCGAGTGTTCAAAGGTCTGCCAGAATCGGGAATACCAGGGCGGCGCGAGTACATTTCAAGGCGGGAAAAGGAGCAGGCTTGGATGTTGGCCAGGGTCTCGAAAGGGTGGTACGGAAAGCCGAGCCTGTCGCCTAGGCTCAGCTCAGACCTGCAAAATCTTGGGATGGTGAACACGTGGACCATGAAGATCGGTGTGCGTCAGTTCGTCTGGTGGGAGACATTCATGCGGTCACGAGAATATCGAGAGTCTGTACGCGTTGTTGGGCTGAGAAAATGCCTTAGGATCTTTTGGAGTTTAGTCCTCATAATATTATGCAGCGGGAGATTCCTGTACTGGTTGAATATGAGCACAAGAATTGATAATAAAAGGAAAGTACAAGAGATTTATAGATTAGTAAAGTACCTATTCAGTGATGTACCTCTTCACTAAGCGGGCTGAGTATTGAGTCGACTCTATGAAGCGGTATATTCATGTGTCACACGAACAGTCGTGAGACTGTTCGCACTACAGACTGTAACTCGCGCAAAGGGACACCTTGTCAGAATAATGTGACAGGAATGGTGGACTAGAATGAATGAGGAGTACAAGTAGTGCTAACCCTAATTGGTTGCACTCAGTAGAGTGTACCCCACTACTGCCTAAACAACATATAAGGCATTTTGACACACCCCCATAAGCGAAGTGGGGGATAGCAAACACAACAAGCGGTCACAAGACCAATCAAGAGAAGCAAACAAAGCAAAGCTCAGGGTGGATCTCAAGATCACCATGCAATCCGAGCATAAGCAAGTGGCCACAAGGCCAGTTCACATGCAGAGTTATAAAAGCACAAGCAGTATAGTGATCACAACCTAGCAAGAGTAAGCATGCATGTATAGATATATAGATCACAGTACAGGGCAAAGTCAAGCAGTAAGCAAGTGAGGCAGAGTAGGCACAAGGCCTAGAGCAGTGCAGAAACGCTGATGATCACCAGACCCAAGGTCCTTGGTGAAGGTATCAGCAGTGTTGGCCCGAGAGGCCACGTAAGCAAGGCAAAGCTGACCACGTTGCTGCAACTCTCGAGCGAGAAAGTAACGAAGATCAAAGTGCTTCGTTCTGTGCTCCAGTCTCTGCTCCCGACACAAGGCAATCATGGCCTTGTTGTCGACGTACAGAACCGGAGTTGAACGAGGCCGCTCACCTAGGCCGGTCAGCAGGTAGGTCAGCCAGCGTAACTCCTGTGCAGCCATATGTCAAAATATATTTTATATGTGTTGTTTAGGTTAGTATAGGTGTTACATTCATCTTCCCTAGGGTTTGCTATATCTTGTTGTACCTTGTTTTTCCTTAGTCAATCTTCTCACCCGTTTAGACTCTCGACATGGTATAGAGCATTACCTTCCTATGGGCCCACCGCCCCGCGCCCCGTCTTAGCTCGTAGCGCCCTTATGCCCGAAACGCCCAGACATCCCACCTGCCCCAAGCGCGTCACCCGTTTAGCCCCGCGCGCGTCACCCGTTTTGCCGAGCGCGTCACCCGTTTAGCCCCGCGCGCGTCACTCGTTTTGCCCCGCGCGTCATTCGTTTTCTGCCCCGTGCGTAGCTCGCCAGCTCGCTAGCGCGCAACAGACGCACAATCGCGCGCAGCCGTAGCCGCACGTGCAACCGCGCGCACACGCAGCCATAGCCGCACACGCGCAGTCCGTTAGCTGCGCCCTCTGCCCCACCCATCGCCCGTTCTTTGCCCCGCGCCCCACCCGTCGCCCGTTTTCCTACCGTCAACCGCCGCCCCACCTGCTCCCGCAGCCCCACCGGTTCCCGCTGACCTATTAGGTCCCGCCTCCCCACTCGTACACAGCTTCCCCACCCGTTTTTTTTGGAGCCCCACCCGTAATCAGTCGCCCCACTCGAACCCGTTGTCCCACCCGTTCCTGTAGCCCCACCCGTAACCAGCTGCCCCTCCCGGTTCCCGCTGTCCCATCCGTTCCATTCCATTCACCTCACCCGTAATCAGCCGCCCCACCCGGTACTCCCCACCGCACAGAACTGCACATAACCACATAGAACCCCACAGAACCGCAGAGAACCGCACATAACCGCACAAAACCGCACCCGCTGTCCCACCCTTACCAACCAGAGCTGCCGCCGCACCCGCTGTCCCATCCGTTCACGTTGCCTCACCCGTAACCAGCCACCCAACCTGTACCCGTGCTAGCCCCCTCCCCCTGGAACCGCACTGAATCGCACCGAACCGTACAAAACTGCACTGAACAGCACCCGCTGCCCCACCTGTACCAGTCAGAGCTGCTCCCACGACCTGAATCCTCTGCCTCACACACTGAAACCCGCCGCCAGCAGCACCAGTAGCAGCATAGGCTGCCCCCAGCGCACCAGCAGCAGCATAGGCTGCCCCCAGCGCACCAGCAGCAGCTTAGGCTGCCCCCAGCGGAACCAGCAGCAGCATAGGCTGCCCCCAATGCACCAGCAGCAGCTTAGGCTGCACAGAGCGCTCTGGTCGGGGTCTCCCGGGCATAACGTAGCGCGCCAGGATGCTGAGAGGGTACGCGAGGTCAGGTCGAGTGCAAGTCATCAGGTACATGAGGCAGCCCACAAGCTCTTGATACTGACCACTCGGCTCTACGGACTCGTCCGAAGGTGGAGCTGAGAGCGAGTGGCTTGTAGGCAGAGGAGTGGACAGTGGCGAGGAGAACTGGAAGCCGAAGCGCTGAAGGACCTGGTGCACCATGTGTGACTGAGTCATAGTGATGGTGCGCCGTGCTCTATCCCGGGTGATCTGCAAGCCAAGATAGCTGCGCAGCTCACCCAGGTCCGTGCAGGTGTGTCTCTTCTGCAGCTCCGTCTTCACAAGGGTCAGCGCCTCATTGTCGGCAGTAGCAAAGAACAAGTCGTCGACGTACACGAGGATGTAGAACGGCGGCAGAGAAGGGTCGGCGCGCACAAACAGCGACGGGTTAGCGGTCGACGGAGCAAACCCAAGAACCGCAAGTGTCATCCTCAATGTGTCGTGCCACTTGCGGGGCGCCTGGCGGAGACCGTAGACTGGCCGCCAGAGGCTCCACTTGTTAGAGATTAAGGACGGAGTCTATGTAGATTAGGGGCCGAAATAACTCAAAATCGTTGGACAATAATTCTGGACAGAAACGTCGACTTCACAAGAATCGCCGTCGACGGAACGTTCAGTGTTAAAACTTCACCAATTTCAGTTATGTTGTAGCCCTAGACCATAGCTAAGATTTTCAATTTGAATCGTATCAATAGGTGAAGTAAAACTGAAGTTATGAATTTCGGCGCACCGGGGGGTATGCTGCTACAGAAACTTAACGCAATCACAATTGTTCTCCCAAGAACCACACAAGAGAATTAGAGTAGCAAGAAACCAGGTAGGAGGGGATTAGGAGGACGAGAGGGAAGGTCCCCAAGGAGTCCCCAACCAAGGAAACCCCATAAGCACACAATTCCCCTCCCTATAGGCACCCCAACTTTGACCTTTGTCACTTTCCCAACCCATGCCATTCACCTCACCCAACTTGGCCACACTTGCCAACCTGGTTTGGCTTCTCCCAACCTCTTGGCAGCAACTACAGCAGAAATGACGAATATCCCAACCCCCAAAAGTCTATACCCCATATAGAGTCACTCCACAAATTCCCATAGTCGCCGCACCACAACCATAAATTCGAACGATCATAACTTTCTCGTTCGTGCTCCTATCGCGACGATTCTTGGTTCGTCGGAAAGCTCTTGAACCAAGAAAAATAACATTCACACACACTCACAACATCCAAACCATGCCAAACATAAATTCTTACGCACGCGCATACCACGCATGCAAGTTAGAAAGATAGGATGGGAGGCAGACAGACGTGAATGCATATGATAGCATCACATAACAAACTCCCCCTTTGGCTGCCAACCATCATCCCACATGCCTCAGCTCATGCATGCACCCTCAATGCACACTCATTCCAGCAAGCTTTATCCCCTTCCAATGCTCAGGTTCAGCCAGGCGCTTGGTGAGAATGTCAGCCGCCTGCTGCTGGGTCTTCACCACCTCCAGTCGCACCTCCTTGTCCAGGAGCCTCCTCACTTAATGCCACTTAGGCCTGATGTGCTTTGTCAGCCCATGCAGACAAGCATTCTTGGCCAATTTCACAGCCGAATCATTGTCGCAGAACATCACGGTCGGCTCCCTCTGACCAACACCGATCTCCTCCAACAAACGCCTCAGCCACACCACCTCCTTGGCCCATGATGAAGGGCCATGTACTCAGTCTCGCATGAGGACAGTCCCACCTGATTCATCTTCTTGCTGCGCCAGCTCACTGCACCACCACCAAACAGGCACACATAGCCGCCAATGCTGGTGC